CAGGGCCACCGCGTCTATCCGTTTCACCTGGGCGACATCAACCTGCGCACCCCCATCAACGTCATCGAGGCCGCGGAGCGGGCCATGCGGGACGGCAAGACCGGCTATACGCCTGCTCCCGGCATCCCGGAGCTGCGCGAGGCGCTGGCGTGGAGATCGGGGGGGCGCGCGGCGTGAGCTACGGCCCCGAGCACGTGTCGGTGCAGCCGGGGGCCAAGCCGATCATCGGCAAGCTGCTGATGAGCGTGATGAATTCCGGCGAGGAGGTGGTGTACCCCACCCCCGGGTACCCGATCTACGAGTCGCAGGTCGACTACCTGGGGGGACGCGGACGCCCCTACGCCTACGTCGAGGAGGCCGACGGCTTCCGCATCGACCGCGCTTCGGTGGAAGCGGCGCTCAGCGACGCGACCCGCGTGCTGATCGTCAACGGCCAGCACAACCCCACCGGCGCCGACGCATCGGCCGACGAGATCGCCTGGCTGGCCGGGATCGCCCGCGAGCGCGACCTGTGTGGTGCTGTCCGACGAGCCGTACTTCGACATCCGCTACGGCGGCAGCAGCCGCAGCCTGGTGTCCGAACCGGAGATGGTCGAGCGCACCGTGATCGGCTACACGTTCTCGAAGACCTACGCGATGACCGGCTGGCGCCTTGGCGCCGCGATCGGCCCGGCCCGCGTCATCGATCTGATCACCAGGCTGAACACCAACCACGAGTCGTGCACCTGCGGGTTCATCCAGCACGCCGGCGTGGAGGCCTTGCAGGGTGACCAGTCCGGTGCCCGCGAGATTCTGGCCACGCTGCGGGAGCGGCGGGACGTCGTGGTCGACGGCCTGAACGCCATCGACGGCGTCAGCGTCCATCGCGCTACGGCCACCTTCTACCTGTTCGTGGACGTCACCGGCGTCTACCGGCGTCTGGGCTACGACGACGCGCATGCCTTTCGCACCGACGCGGCTATTCGCGGAGCGCGGGGTGTCGTTATCGGCTCGTCGCCCCACTCGGCGCGCGGTCCCCGGCGAGCAGCGGATGTACGTGCGCTTCGCCTACTCCGGCATCGACTCGGCCGATGCCCGGGAGGGGCTGGCGGCGCTCAAGGCGTACTGGGAGCGATCTACTCGATGATGCCGCGCTGCCGGCCCACGCGGGTGAACGCCTCGATCGCGCGGTCCAGGTGGGCTGATTCGTGGTGCGCGGCCGAGATCTGCACGCGGATGCGGGCCTGCCCCTGCGGCACCACCGGAAAGGAGAAGCCGATCACGTAGATCCCCTCGGCCAGCAGATCTGTCGCCATCAATGGATCCCCGCCCTGCAGTCTCTCACTAGGCGCGTCGTACAGCATGATCGGCACGATCGGGTGCACGCCGGGCCGGATGTCGAAGCCGGCGGCGGTCATCGCGTCCCGGAAGTAGGCGGTGTTCTCCGCCAGCCGGTCGCGCAGCTCCGTGGTCTGGTCCAGCGCGTTCCATAAACCAGCCAGGCCGGCCGGCGCCAGGCAGGCGTGCAGCGAGTTGCTGAACATGGTACGAGCGCCGCGACTTTCGCTGGCGGAGCAGCTCCACGATCGGCGCCGCGCTGCGGTGAACCCGCTGAGAGCTGCCGCGGCCGAGCGCCTTGCCCAGCGTGCTGGTGATGACGTCGATCTCGCCCTGCTGCACCCCACAGTGCTCGGGCGTACCGCGGCCGGTGGCGCCGAATGTGATCCGCGTCGCATGATGCGAGTCGTCCCACCATCCCCAGACGCGTCTGCTCTGCGCGCAGCTCGACGATGCGGTCCAGCGGGGCGATGTCGCCGTCCATGGAGAACACGCCGTCGGTGGCGATCAGCCGCAGCCGCGCGCCGGCGGCCCCATTGAGCTTGGCCTCCAGGTCGTCCATATCGGCATGCGCGTAGCGGTAGCGGGCAGCCTTGCACAGGCGGATCCCGTCGATGATCGACGCGTGATTGAGCGCGTCCGAGAGCACGACGGCGTCGCCTTCGGCGAGGAGCGTCTCGAACAGGCCGCCGTTGGCGTCGAAGCAGGAGGTGTAGAGGATGGCGTCGTCGGTGCCCAGGAAGCGCGCCAGCGCCTGCTCCAGCCGCTTGTGCAGGTCCTGGTGCCGCAGATGAAGCGGACCGACGAGACAGCCCGAAGCCGTGCGTAGCGCAGGGCCTCGGCGGCCGCGTCGATCACCGCGGGGTCGCTGGACAGCCCCAGGTAGTTGTTGGCGCAGAAGTTGAGCACCGCTTCGCCTGAGCCTACGCGAATGGCCACGCCCTGCGGCGAGGTGATGACCCGCTCGTCCTTGTACAGGCCTGCGTCCCGGATCTGCTCCAGGGTGGGCTGAATCAACGCGTCGGGTTTCGCGATGGTTGCCATGATGCTGTTTACTACTCTTGATGTGCTCACCCGGATCGTACGTCAGGACGACCTTGCCGCAGCGGCCGGCGGCCATCGCCGCGAAGCCCTCTTCGAAGTCGTCCAGGGACAGCCGGTGCGTCAGCACCGGCGAGACGTCCAGGCCGCTGCGCAGCATCTGCGTCATCTTGTACCAGGTCTCGTACATCTCCCGTCCGTAGATGCCCTTGATGCGCAGGCTCTTGAGGATCACCTGGTTCCAGTCGATCGTGGTGGACCCCGGCAGAAAGCCGAGCAGGGCGATCTGGCCGCCGTTGTACATGTTGGCCAGCATGCTCCGGAACGCATCGGGGCTTCCGGACACCTCGATGCCGCGATCGAAGCCGTTCGACATGCCGAGCTGCGTGACGGCGTCCTCCACCGACTCCTGCGTCACGTTGACGGCAAGCGATGCGCCCATGCGGCGCGCCAGGTCGAGCCGGTAGTCGTTGACGTCGGTGACCACCACGTGGCGGGCGCCCAGGTGGCGGCAGATCGCCGCGGCCATCACCCCGATCGGCCCGGCGCCGGTGATCAGCACGTCCTCGGCGACCAGGTCGAACGACAGGGCGCAGTGCGCGGCGTTGCCCAAGCGGTCGAGGAAGGCGGCGATCTCGGTCGGAATGCTGTCGTGGATGGGCCACAGGTTGCTCTCCGGCATCACCACCAGCTCCGCGAACGCGCCGTCGCGGTGGACGCCCACCCCCTTGGTGAGGTGGCACAGGTGCGGCTTGCCGGCGCGGCAGTTGCGGCACAGGCCGCAGGTGATGTGCCCTTCGCCCGAAACCCGGTCGCCGGCCCGGTGCAGCGTCGCGCCGGGCCCGAGCGCGACCACCTCGCCCACGAACTCGTGGCCCAGGACCAGCGGCGGCTCGATCACGCTGCGCGCCCACTCGTCCCATTGGTAGATGTGCAGGTCGGTCCCGCACACCGCCGCCTTGATGACCCGGACCAGGACCTCCTTGGGGCCGGGCGCGGGCTCCGGCACCTCGGCCAGCGTCAGACCGGGGCCCGCCGCCTCCTTGACCAGTGCTTGCACAGGATTGCCGGTCGACAGTGTAGCGCACCGGCGGCCCCGACCTTCGCCTGACGGCTCGGGGTTCCTGGTTCAGGCGGTGTCGACGACCGTGGCGAACGACCGCCCCGGGGTGAGGGCGCGCAGAAACGCGTCGCATGGCAGGCACAGGATGTCGCGTTCCAGGACGCGGCGTCCCCGATACAGGAGGATCGGTGTGGCTTCCGGATAGTCCTGGGCGAACGAGCGAAGGCCGGTCAGGTCTCCCGGATGGAGCGTTGCGCTGTTCTTGACTTCCAGCGCGTACAGGCCCGCTTTCACCGTACAGGACGAAGTCCACCTCGCTGCCGCTGCGCGTACGCCAATAGCTGAGCGTGTCGCGGGTGTTGGCGTAGGCGATCCAGGTACGCAGGTGCTCCGCTACCAAGCCCTCCAGGGCAGCCCCGGCCAACTCCTCGGGTCGGTCGAATGGCCCGACGGGCCGGAGCGAGCGGAACAGACCGGCGTCCACCAGGTAGAACTTGGGATGAGCGCTCATCCGCCGCCGCGCGCGGCGTGTGAATACCGGCAGCGTGAACGCAAGCAGCAGATCCTGACGCCCAGGAGCTCCCTTGCGGCCGGTGGCCGATAGAGGCGGGCGAACATTGGACGGAACCCCATCCTGACGCGCTATCCGCAAAATGTCCATCAAGATTCCGTTATGACGCTCAAAAATGGAAACCCGCGACACAGATCGACTCCCTGGACCGATTCCTCACCCGCCTGCGGTCCGGTTGAGCCACAACCGACGGCCGTCGCGACTTGACGCGAGCGGGGCCACGGCGGTAGCGTCTTGAGGATGCCCCGAACGGCTCTTTGGGCCGACAGGGCGCAATCTCATACCAACCCCACGTGAAAGAGAGGTTCGCAGACTGATGAGAAAATTGCTCATCTCGCTACTGACCCTGGGCTTCGTCCTTGGATCCGCCTTTGTGGCGACCGCCGAAGGCTCGCAAGAGTCGATGGCGGAAGGTCCGATGGAGATCAGCTTTCAGGGCCTCTTCGGCGACTTGGTCGTCGCAGGCAACCCGATCCAGCTCGCGCTGGAAGAGAAGTTCAACATCAAGATCACCGACTCCAACCTGTCCCGCCGCCCGCAGGAGACGATGGACTTGATGATCGGCGCCAACGAGCACCCGGACGCCATGTATTCCTGGACGAATCACGACCAGTGGTACGGTGCGGGTGCGTATCGCTCGATTCCGGTGGACATGATCCGTGAGCACGCGCCCAACCTGGCGCGCGACTGGGACACGATCGGTCCGGGGCGCCTGGTTGATGTCGGCGGTCCCCGGCGATGCGTCCGCCCTGCGCGGCATCCCGCGCGGCTATGCGCACCAGGCCGGTGCCGGCGCGGCGGTCAACTTCCGCTACGACTGGCTGGGCATGGTCGGCGCGCGCGAGGCGCTGGGCGTGTCCCAGGACATGGAGTCGAGCCCCGAGAGTCCGGAAGGCGTGCTCGACGGCAATCCCGGGTTCGACCCCGGCCACTGGTTCATCAGCTACAACACGCCGAACATCGTCGACGTGGAGGCGGCCCTGGAAGCGATCGTCGCGGCCGACCCGGTCGGCGGCGGCCGGACCATCGGCTACAGCGGCTGGCCCCGTGAGGGCAGGCCGTGTTACTGGTGGTCGTTCGGTGCGGTGTGCCAGGCATAACGGCGTCGCCTCGGAGTCATGGTGGGTTCACTCCGCCGCCGACGGCAGCGCTACGATCCACTACGGCTGGGACAACGTGAAGACCGCCCTGGAGACCCTGCAGCGCTGGTTTCAGAAGGGCATCCTGGACAGCGAGATCCCGGCATTCGACCGCGCCGCGTTCGATGACAAGGTCGGCGCAGGTCTGGTCGCGATGTACGGCCGCGGCGCCCAGGGATGCTGGAATACGCCTGAGGGTCCGGCCAATCCGGTCGTCGGCTGTCTGGCCCGTGTCAACAACCCTGATTTTCAGGAGCTGCAGGTGCATGCGGTGACCGCTCCGGATGGGACCTACGGGCTCCGTCACGAGAACACGGCGCTTCCTCTGGGCGGCCCCGGCGAGTGGTTCGTCGTACGCCATGACGTCTCCGATGAGAAGCTGGCCACGATCCTGCAGCTCTTCGACTACACGACCAGCACCTGTGAAGGCTTGCTGTTTTCAGACTACGGAATCGAGGGCGTTCATTACAACGTCGAGGGTCCCGCACTCTGCGCGGACGACGGGATCGACGCTGCCCGTGCCGGCGGCGTGGCGGTCCGCACCACCGTGGATTACCAAGCGCTCTATGCCGACGGCGTAGCCCACTACTTCGACAATAATGGGTTTTACACGCGGCTGTTCGGTTACGCCGGCAACACCCAGTGGGAGCCGCTCAAGTCCTACAAACCAGTGGCGCGGTGCGGGCGGTGCCGGCACCACCCACCTGATCCGCATGTACAAGGAGGACGTGTTCAACGAGACCCAGCACAATGAGCTGCGCTCGCAGTACAAGGGCGCTCTGGACACGATCCACGGCGAGTTCATGTACAAGGCCATGACCACCGACGTCGACATCGATGCCGAGTGGCCGAAGTACATCGCGCAGCTCAACGCTGCCGGCATGGCTGAGATCAACGCCGAGCTGAACAAGCTGCAGTACACGGTCGCAGAGCTGAACTCCGTCGGCGTGACCTGCGGTGATTCCGGGTGCGTCGCTAACAGTTAGGCGCAAGCATTCGGAACGAGCAGCCTTCCTCTGGCTGCTCAGATCTGAGAAGGGACGGCCATCATGGCCGTCCCTTCGTCATTGCTGCGCCCGGTATGGGCTCTCGCCAGGAGCCGGTACTGGACTCCGGCCTTCTCCCAATTTCAACGCGGCGGCACCGACAAGGCTGACGGCGCGCGTCGATGTGCTTATACGGACGCCGCGAGAACCGACATGCGACCGAGCCCGTCGGTGATCAGGCGAGGACGAACAAGGCTGACTCCCACACGGCCGAAGCTCGGTGGTTCGACAGCGAGTTTGCTGGAACTATCCCTTCACCGATCCCAGCATGACGCCCTTCACGAAGTACTTCTGAACGAAAGGGTAGAACAGCACCACCGGGCCGATGGTGATCAACGTGGTCGCGGCCTGGATCGATCGGTGCGGGATGCGCGCCCAGTCCGGCTCGATCCCCTGCGCGCGGAGCTCCTCTATCAGGCGCTGCATGGAATCGTCGGTCTGAAAGCCCTGCAGGCGCTGCACGATGTCGCGCAGCAGGAGCTGCAGAATGCGTTTGTCCTTGTCGGTGATGTAGATCAGCCCGTCGAACCACGCGTTCCAGTGGTTTACCACCGTCCACAGCGCGATGACGGCCAGCACCGGCCTCGACAAGGGGGATGAAGATGCTGAACATGATGCGCCAGTAGCTGGCGCCGTCGATCACCGCGGAGTCCTCCATCGCCTGGTCGATGGTCATGATGAAGTTGCGCGTGATGATGATGTTGAACGCCGCGATCGCAGGGATGACCACCAGAACCCAGCGCGAGTTGATCATGCCCAGGTTCCGCACCAGCAGGTAGGTGGGAATGATGCCTCCCTGGAAGAACAGCGTGAACACGAGCAGGAAGGTGATCACCCCTCGCCCGGGCAGGTTGCGCTTCGAGAGCGCGTACGCGGCGCAGAAGGTGACGAACAGCGTCAAGGTGGTGCCGAACACGACGCGGTGCAGCGTGTTCAGGTAGGCGGTCCCTACGGCGTTCTCCCTGAACATGAATGCCCACGCCTCCGTACGCCACTCTTCGTTCCAGAGGTGCAGCCCTCGGCCGGGCAACGACGCCGGCGACGCCAGCGAGGTGGTGATGACGGTCCAGAACGGATACAGGATCGACAGCGCGAACAGGCCGAGGAACAGGTAGTTGGCGATGTCGAACGCGCGACCGAGCGGCGTCACTCTGACCAACGGATTCGCCATGCGTATCTCCCTACCAGACCCCGTACTCGCTGTAGCGACGCACGATCTGATTGGCCCCGACCAGGACGACCAAGCCGACCGCGTTCTGGAAGAGCTGCACGGCGGTGGCGTAGGAGTAGCGCGCCCCTTCGATGCCGGAGCGGTACACCAGCGTCTCGAACACGTCGACCTTCTCGTAGACGTTGGAGTTGTACAGGTTGAAGATCGGGTCGAAGCCGAACTCCAGGATGTTGCCGACGCTGAGCAGGAACAAGATCGTGATCACCGGCACCAGCGCAGGGATGGTGATGTGGATGACGTTCTGCCAGCGGTTGGTGCCGTCGATGGCCGCGCTTTCGTAGAGCTGGGGGTCCACCCCCGACAGCGCCGCCAGAAAGATGATCGTCCCCCAGCCGACGCTCTGCCAGATGGTGACGATCATGATCAGGGCTCGGAACGTCTCCGGGGTGGTCAGCACCGAGAACGGCTCCAGCCCCACCCGCTCCATGAGGTAGGGGATCGCGCCGCTCTGCATCGACAGCAGTTCCCTGACGATGCCGCTCAGGACGATCCAGGAGAGGAAGTGCGGGAGGTAGCTGACCGACTGCACGGCGCGCTTGTAGGGGGTCACGCGCACCTCGTTGAGCAGCAGCGCCAGGATGATCGGCGCCGGGAAGGCGAAGATCGTCCGCAGGACGGCCAGGATCACCGTGTTGCGCAGCACGCGCCAGAAGAACGGGTCGTTGAAGACCCAGTCGAACCACTTGAAGTTGTTCCAGGTGCTGCCCAGGATACCTCTGACGATGTTGTAGTCGACGAAGGCGATGCCGATCCCGTACATGGGGATGTACTTGAAGAGGAACAGCAGCACCACCGCCGGTGCCAGCAGGATGTAGAAGTCCCGCATGCGCCACGCGCGCCGCGCGGTCTGTCGCCGGAGCACGCGCTTGAGGTAGGTGGACCGCTCCTCCTCGGTGCCGAAGCTGTCGTAGACGCCTACGCTCGGGGCGGGGGACGCGGAGGGCTGATCGCGTCGGTCGGTGGGGAGGTCAGCCATCGATCGTTCGGTGTCGCTTGAGGGTCATCACGGGCCGGGGAACGCCGGTGGCGACCCTACCGGTTCGGGTGCAGCCAGTCAACGCCACGTCACCAGATCGAGTACTCGTTGTAGCGGCGCACGATCTGGTTGGCCGCGATCAGCAGCACGAACCCGACGACGTTCTGGAACAGGTTGATGGCGGTGGCGTAAGAGTACTTGGCACCCTCGATGCCAGACCGGTAGACCAGTGTCTCGAACACGTCGGAGACCGACACCACCACGTCGTTGTACAGGTTGAAGATCTGATCCCATCCCTGTTCCAGGATGTTGCCTATCTGCAGCAGGAACAGGATCGTCATGACCGGGATCAGGGCCGGCAACGTCACGCGCAGCGCGGTCTGCAGCCGGTTCGCGCCGTCGACGGTTGCGCTCTCAGTAGAGCTCGGGGTCGATCCCCGACAGCGCGGCCAGGTAGATGATCGAACCCCAAGCCGACACCCTGCCAGACGCCGGTCGCCACCAGCAGCGCCCGGAAACGTCGGGGGGTTGGTCAGGAAGTTGATGGGCTCCAGCCCGACGGCGGCCATGAGGTACGGCACCACCCCGCGCTGCGGAGACAGCAGCTCCTTGATGATGCCGCCCAGCACCACCCAGGAGATGAAGTGCGGCAGGTAGCTGACCGACTGCACGGCGCGTTTGTAGGGGCTCACGCGACCTCGTTGAGCAGCAGCGCCAGGATGATCGGCGCCGGAAAGCCGATCGCCAGGCGCAGCAGGCTGAGGATCACCGTGTTGCGCAGCACGCGCCAGAAGAAGTAGTCGTTGAAGACCCAACTGAACCACTTGAAGTTGTTCCAGGTGCTGCCCAGGATGCCCTTGACGATGTTGTAGTCCACGAACGCGATGCCGACGCCGTACATCGGCATGTACTTGAAGACGATCAGCAGCGCCACCGCCGGCACCAGCAGGACGTAGAACTGCGCATGCGCCGCGCGCGCTCCAGGGTCTGGCCGGCGGTGGATGCGGCGCAACGCGCGCGGATCGGTGGCTGGCGCATCGCCCGTGGTCGATGCGAGCGTCGGGGGCTGTGTCATGTGGGCGGGAGGAGTAGCGCCGGCGCACGCTAGTACGGGACGTGCGCGGGTGTCAAACGCAACGGGCAGTCGATGCGTGCGGTGGTCACCTCGCTGGCTTGACTCGAGTCTGTCCGCAAAGGTCTCCTTGAAGGGATAGGATCCTTGAATACAATGTCCCCATGGTAACCAGGGTCACGGGAAAGAACCAGGTGACCATCCCCGCCCAGATCGTAGCCATGGAGGGGATGGAGCCGGGGACACGGCTCGAGTGGATTCCGACGATCGCGATCACGTGCTCGAGGTGCGCGTGCTGCCGAACATCGCTCGCGTCGCGTCCGCTCTGCGTGGACGGGGTGCCAGATACGCGAGCAGGCGGGCAGCGCCGTGGACCGGCTGATGGGCGAGCGGGCGCGAAGACCGCGAAGCGAGCCCGCGGTGAGTGCCGTCACCCACGTGCTGGATACGTCCGCCGTTCTGGCGCACTACTTCGACGAGCCCGGCGCGGAGATCGTCGATCGGCTCTGGCAGGATTCCCGCAACCGAATCGGGATCTGCGTACTCACGCTGCCGGAACTGCGATGGCGCCTGCAGGCGGAGATCGAGGACGAGGAGGAGATCGATCGCGCCTTCAAGGCGTACGTCGACGAACTCACGTCCGGCCTTGTCGTGGACAGGACGGTAGCGGAGAGCGCCATGGCGCTCGCCGCGAGGCTGCGGAGCGATTGCCGCTGACGGACGCGATCATCGCCGGCTGCGCCCACGCAGCCACGGCCGTATTGGTTCATCGAGACCGGCACATGGAGTCCATCCCGCAGCGATTGGTGACTCAGATCGTGTTGCCACACACCGATCGCGCGTGATGCTCCCCATGCACAAGCGCATCAAGGCGATCTGTGTCAGACGACTCTTGGAACTGATCGAGGCACAAGAATGAAGTCTGAACCAACCGCGCCTCTCGGAACCAGGTGTTCCCTGACGAGGAGGGCTGCTCGGCTGCTCGGGAGGCAAGACGGATGCCGTGTACGGTGAACTGCTCAGGGAGCTTGCGTGCCACGGGGGCACGAATTCCCTTGAGATCGTCGTCGATACCATAGCCGGGACATTGGCAGGCGGTATCAACGCCGGGGCTCTCGCCAAGGGAGTCGTCGATGGCGGCGACATGCGGGCGCTCAACACGATGTGGATCGAAGAGCCGACATCGAGGACCTGAAGGCCGATGCTCCGCGGCCTCTCGGCCTCGTTTGGCGGCCTTTGCTCAGAGTGCTGTGTTGTGCCGATGCGCTCGGCGACATACGTCAATGAATACGCAAGTTACGCGGAACCAGCTTCCCATGGGTTCGCGATCACGGCTGGCCCCGCCATTGTGCCGGTCAGCCGACCGTTTCACCGTCGACCACTGTATCAACCCAAACATGCCCATCGCCTTTCCGTTTGTAGACCGGGTGATCTGGACAGTGCCGGCGTGGAGGATCTGATCGACGTCGAGGTGACGTGCATCTCGCCGGATGACACGCATGACGTTGACACCGAGGCCCCACGTTCCAGGTGACGGCGAACGATCTCGTCACTTCCACCTCAGGGGCGCACGAGCCAGAAGTTAGCTGCACGATGATGTCGCCGGCATCTGCCGGGGGCGTCAGGCTAGTAGAAGTCGTCGACCTCGCCGAGCAGAGCAAGTTGGTTAGTGTTAGTCGGCGCTTGCCGCTGACGCAGTCAGAGCTGGTAGTCGGCACGGCTTGGAAGAGGGTCTTTAGCTGACGGCGAACGATCGCTCCACTGCCGCCGGCAGGGCGATGGCTACAAATCGCTCGGCAGGGTAGAGATAGTCCTCTCCGCTCTCATCGATGATCCGTATGTCTCCCTTATCGGCGGCTGCGTCGTCGTCGATCACCCGGTAAATCTTGTGCTTTTCGAGCGACGCCGGGTAGTCCGCATCGTCGATGCAGACGACGTATGCACTATTGCGCCCCACGCTCGATTGCTTCATCACCTTAGTCCAGGTAGCGTTCGCTGTATTCGTAGCTTGACCCGATCATGTCCTCTCTTCTCTTTTTACTACCATGTGAAGCTCGGCCGTGCGCAAGTCGCCAATAGCGATACGGCGTCATTCCGTGACAAGGTCAACTGGCCGCGGCGCTCCTTGCGCGAGGCCTCGCCGAGCGATGAGTGCAGCCGCTGAAGACTTGGCCCCGCCTCAGGAGCGGACGAAGACGCCGCGGCTGATCAGCTTGCGGCGCACGGCGGGTGTCAGGTCGGCCCCGTCGGCCAGTTCCACGACGCTCTCGACAGCCGGCGGCCTCGCTTGCCCACCGCCGACAGCACGCGGGCGGCGGTCTCCGCGTCACCGCAATCGACCACCAGCGCGGTGCGGACGTCGACCCAGCGCACGTCGGCTGCCCAGTCCGGAATCTGACGGCTCACGTTGGCCGGCAGCGGCTGCTTGGACAGGTCGGCGGCCACCGCGATCACCTGCTCGGCATCCTGACCGGCCATCACGGCTCGCTGTACGGACGCCCGCTCGATGACGAACAGCGTGCCCACCGACTGCGGCCTTTTCAGCGCGGCGGTGGGCGCCGCGAACGTCCGAGCGCGCATCTGATCGATCGGTGATGGCGACAGGAACACGATCTCGAAGTTGGGCTGGATGACCGCCTCGCCGGTTTCCTCCGGTGCGTCGAGCTCGAAGTCGTCGACCTCGCCCAGCAGGTAACGGCCGACGTCGGTCAGGGAGAAGCCGGCGCCGCCGTCGGTCAGAGGTCCCAGCGCAGCGCCGCCGAGCGGCAGCAACCGGTCGTACAGGAACGTCAGGAGCGTCCTTGCCCAGAGGCGTTCGCAGCCTTCACGTTGCAGGCGGTAGTCCAGAATCCGAGCGCTCTCGTTCAGGAGGGGGTTGCGCTCTTCGCTGTGGAATTCGACGAACGACTGCAGGTCGATGGTCGATGCCCGGCCGATCGCGCGAAACGCATCGATCACGCCGCGTTCCGGATTGGCGTAATACCGGATGGCGGACCCGTACGTGCGCGGCAGGAAGCTCAGATGCGCCGTTTCGGCATGCTGCGGGTTCCAGGGGTCGAAAGAGTACGGGTCCGCGGAGGACCGGTCCCCGGCGTCGTCGCGCAGCAGATCGAGCATGCGTTTGAGCCGCTCCTTGACGGGGAGCACCAGCCATTGTCGGCCGCGAGCCGTCACGACGAGCTTCGCACCGGAGTCGTCGTGCTCTGCCGCCAAGCGCAGCTCGAACGCGACGCGCGTCGCGTGCGCGAGACGCTGATCCGGGCTCAGCGACGCTGACTCAGCGGTAACGCATGCGGGCAGCGCGGAGAGCGCACGGCCGATGGCGCGGACGCTGCGCTCGAACAGGGACCGCGTGCCGGCCTTGAGGCGGGGCGGTTCGGCGATCGCTTCCATCAGGAGCGCTGTCATGTCGTCGATCAGGAACGGCCGGCTGAGCAACTCGCCGGCGGCGAACGCCCCCGCGGCGGGTGCCGTGAGCCGCCCGCGCTGCAGGCGTTTGAGGATGGGCTGCCAGATGCCGACGAACGGCAACAGGACCGCGTCGACGGCGATCAGCAGCAGCGCCTCGCGAAACGCGAACGACAATCCGGCCGCCAGCAGGTCGCGGCGGGAACTCTCGTCGGCCGCTTCGAGGAGGTCGGTAATCGCGATCGGTCCGTCGTTCGCCATCACCGCTGCGATGAGTTCCCGTGCGGTGGCGACGGCGGTCGGCGGCGCCTGTTGCCAGCGGCCGTGCGCGTCGAGTGGCCCGCGCCGAAGAGGGGCGTCAGGTTCGGAATCGACCGATTCGGCAGTGGCAAGACGCCGGCGCGCCGCGTTGTAGTCGTCGTCGGTCATGCCAAGACCCAGACCCCGCTCTTGCAGCCTGTTCCTGATTTCGGCGAGGGTCAGGCGCCCGACATTGCGGGCCTTGGCGATTTCTTCCTCTCTCTTCCGGGTCAGATCACCGATCGTGTGGACGGAAGCATTCCTCAGGCAGGTGCTCGATCTCACCGACAGGTGCAGAGCGTCGACGGATGTCTCGAGCAACGTGCGTAGCCGCTCGTCCCCGTCGTCCGGCTCGTCCCTATCGTCAGGATCATGGTCGCCGATGTCGTCATCAAGAGACGGATCGTCGTCGTCCGGCCCGCAGTTCCAGTCCAGGAACTGCCGCCACCAGTCCACTCGGCCCATGTCGTGAGCGAGTCGGTTCCGGTCGCCGGTTCGACGTCGGCGGTACAGGCGGCTGATCTCCTCCGCCGTATAGTGCTGCAGCAGGTAGTTCTGCAGCGAAGACGCGCCGGCGTCGCGAGCGGCCGCGGACTGGTCGGGAAACGGCGTTGCGCGGGACAGCTCGCGGATCAGCTTCAGCCAGAATCGACGCGCGTGCGGCACGGTATAGCGCGGGCTGTTCTTCGCGGGCACCGGCTGCAGCCAGCCGAGGTCGATCAGCTCGTCGTCCCGTGTTCGTGCCCGGTAGCCGCCCAGGCTGCGCTGGATCAGGAAGCGGCGCTGCTCGATCGTCAGCGCCTCCCACTTCGGCAGCAGGTCGAAGACCTCGCGCCAGTCGAGGTCCAGCAGCTTCACGGTTTCACCCTGCGGAGCGCACGAATACACCGCGGCTGATCAGCTTGCGGCGCATCGCGGGCGTCAGGTCGGCGCGGTCGACCAGCTCCACCACGCTGTCCGAAAGCCGGCGGCCTCGCTTGCCCACCGCGGCCAGCACGCGGGCGGCGGTTTCGGCGTCGCCGCAGTGGACTACCAGCGCGGGGCACACGTCGACCCAGCGCACCTCGGCTGCCCAATCCCTGATCTGGCGGCTCACGTTGGCAGGCAGCCGCTGCTTGGACAGGGCGCCGGCCGTCGCGATCACTTCCCTCGGCGGCCCGGCCGGCCATCACGGCTCGCTGCACCGACGCCCGGTCGATGACGAACAGCGTTCCCACCGACTGCGGGCCTTGCAACGCCGCGGTGGGTGCCGCGAACGTCCGGGCGCGTACCTGGTCGATCGGTGAGGGCGACAGAAAGACGATCTCGAAATTCGGCTGCACGACTACATCGCCGGAATCAGCCGGCGTGTCGAGCTCGAAGTCGTCGACCTCACCCAGCAGACAGCGGCCGATATCGGTCATCACGAAGCCTGCATCGCCGTCGGCAAGGAGACCGAGCGCGACTCCGCCGAGCGGGACCAGCCGCTCGAAAAAGAACGCCAGGAGCGTCGATCCCCAGATCCGCTCTGCGTCTTCACCGGCGCCATACGCGATCTCGTCGTGCTCCAGCAGAGGATTGCGCTGCTCGCTGTGGAAGTGGACGAACGCCCGCAGGTCCACGGTCGATTCCCGGCCGACCGCGCGGAAGGCATCGAGCACGCCGCGCACCGGATTGACGAGGAACCAGCCGATCTCGTACACGTACGGTACGAAATCCAGCGGCACCGCTTCGGGATCCTCGGCGTACCACGGGTCGAGGACATGGCCATCCTCCCGCCCATAGAGCATCGCATCGTCGCGCAGCACATCGAGGATATGCTTGAGCCGCTCCTTGACCGAGCGCATCAGCCACTGCCGGCCGGTTTCGGTCACTACCAGCTTGAGACTCGTGCCGGAGTCGCCCTGCGATGCGGCCAACCGCAGGGAGAACGCGAATTGCGCTGCCCGTGAGACGCGTCGATCCCGATTCAAGGGCGCGAACTCCGGCTCGATCCACGCCGGCAGAGCGGGGAGCGCCGTGCCGATCGCACGGGCGTTGCGCACAACAGTTCGTGGCTGTGAGCCTTGAGCCTGGGCGGGTCGGCGATCGCTTCCATCAGGAGCGTCGCCATGTCGTCGATCAGGAATGGCCGGCGGAGCAGGTCGTCGCCGCGGAACGTCGGGTCCGGGATTGATGCGGGCGTGCCGCGTTGCAGGCGCTTGAGGATCGGCGGCCAGATGCCGACGAACGGCAGCATGACCGCGTCGACGTCGATCAGCAGCAGCGCCTCGCGGAACGCGAATGCGAGCCCGGCTGCCAGCGCGTCGCGGCGCGAGCGCTTGCCGGTCCCCTCGAGCAGGTCGGTGATCGCGATCGGGCCGCCGTGTGCGACCACCGCGCCGATCAGCTCCTGGGCGGTGGTGACTGCGATGGGCGACGCCTTTTGCCAGCGGCTGTGCGGGTCCAAGACCGAGGTCGGGGGAGGTTCGCCGTTCCAGTCCAGGAACTGCCGCCACCAATCCGCGCCGCGCATGTCGCGGGCGAGCCGGTGCCGCGTGCCGTCCGTCCCCCGGCGGTCGAGCTGCTCGATCTCCTGCGCTGTGTAGTGCTGCAGCAGGTAGTTCTCCAACGCCGCGGCTCCGGCGTCGCGGTCAGCGGCGGCTTGGTCGGGAAACGGCGTCGCACGCGACAGCTCGCGGAACAGCTTGAGCCAGAACCGATGCGGTCGCGGCACCCGATAGCGCGTCCCGCTCCTGGAGCGCACCCGTTCCAGCCAAACGCCATCGACCAGTTCGTCATCGGGACTCCGGGTCCCGTAGGTGGTCAGGCTGAGATCGATCAGGAAGCGGCGCTGCCCGATCGAGAGCGCCTCCCACTTCGGTAGCAGGTCGAAGACCTCGTGCCAGTCGACGTCCAGCAGCTTCAAACGGTCGGCTCCACCGTCCCGCCGGCCTCGACGATCGCCTCGGCCACCGAGGTCGTCGTCACCCGCTCCGCGGCCGGGGCGTCGACGATGGCGTACTCGTAGCCCTGCTCACACAGGAAGCGCTGCCGGTTCATCGCGAACTCCTGCTCCACGGTGGCCGCGCTGACCAGCGAGTAGAAGTGCGCCTGCGTGCCGTCGCTCTTGGGACGCAGGATGCGGCCCCAGGCGCTGTGCCTCCTCCTGGCGTGACCCGAAGGTGCCGGAGATCTGGATGGCGACGTTGGCGTCCGGCAGGTCGATCGCCAGGCTGCCGATCTTGCTGACCGCCAGACAGCGGATCTCGCCGTCCCGGAACGCCTGGAAGAGCGCGTCGCGGCGCTTCTGGCGATCGAGGTCCCGGTGAGCACCGGGATGTCGAGCGCGTCCGCCAGTCCCTTGATCTGGTCGACGTACATCGCCATCACCAGGATGCGATCGTCGCGATGGATCCGCAGGAGGGCGCGCACCAGCGCTCGTTTGTCCGGATTCTGCGCCGCGATCGGGAACTGCTGCCGGGGGGAGGCAGCGGCGTACTCCAGGCGCAGTGCCGGCGGCAGCGGCAGGCGCACCTCGGTGCAGTGGGCGGTCGCCACCCAACCCTGGCGCTCCAGCTCGCGCCACGGAACCTCGGCCTTCTTCGGCCCGATCAGGGCGAACACGTCCTCTTCCAGTCCGTCTTCCCGGACCAGGGTGGCGGTCAGCCCCAGCCGCCGGCGCGCCTGCAGCGCGGCGGTGATCTGGAAGACCGGCGCCGGCAGCAGGTGCACCTCGTCATAGATGATCAGGCCCCAGTCGGCGCGGTCGAAGACCCTCCAGGTTGACCATCGGATCGTCGCGGCGGCGGCGGTGGGTGAGCATCTGATAGGTTGCGACCGTGAGCGGGCGCAGGGCTCGCCCGGGGCCGGCGTAGATGCCGATCTGCGCCTCGGTCAGGGTGGTCTTGTCCAGCGTCTCGGCGATCCACTGCTTGGCGGCCGTGACGCTGGTGCAGAGGATCAGCGTGGTGGTCTGCAGCGCGTGCATGCAGGCCAGGCCGACGATCGTCTTGCCGGCGCCGCACGGCAGTACGATGACGCCGCTGCCGCCGGCGGAGTGGCGCACGTCCTCGAAGGCGCGCGCCGCTGAGTTCTGGTAGTCGCGCAACGTGAACGGCAGCCCGGCACGGGTGGTGTCGCGCAGCTCGAACGCCAGCGGCGTCCCCGCGGTGTAGCCGGCCTCGTCATCCGGCGGGAAGCCGGCGCGGACCAGCGCCAGCTTCAGCAGCCCGCGACGCTCGGCGTCGACCTGGAACGTACGCCGGCCGGTCCGGTCGCCGAGCCACTTGGACACGTCGCGGTTGCGCCGGGCGATCTCCAGGGACTCGTCGTCGCGGGATTCGAGCACCAGGCCGTCGTCGCCTGCCAGCAGCCGCAGCTTGCCGAAGCGCGACGCGTGCGTGGTGATCTCGACGAGCGTGGCGTCCGGCACCGGGTAGCGGCTGAACTCGTGCAGCGTGGCGATGATGTCGTCCACGGTGAATCGCCGGCGGAACGGGCATTCCAGATGGACAGCGCCGTCATGCGATAGGTGTGGACGTGCTCGGGCGCCTTGATCAGCTCGGCAAAGGCGAGGAGACGGGAGCGCGCCTCCTCGAACCGGGGGCTGGCCACCTCCAGCAGCAGCGTGTCGACGCCTTGGACGATGAGCGGCTGATCGGAGGCCATCGGCAGGCCCGATTATAGCGGGGCGAGGTTTGTGGCGACGGCGGTGTCTGTCGGGGAACGCTGAACAGGCTCCCGTCCTGACGGGTAGCGGCGGGCGCGTGGGGTTACCGGACACGGCTATCGCGTCCCGCGTTCACTTGTCGAGGATCGAGCTATGAGCTACGCTATCAGGGTGTGCGTGGTAGCGTACAGCAAGCAAACCTTGAACGCTCTTCGGAAACTGCCGGCCAACGAGGCACGACGGATTCGCGCCAGGATCGCTGACTACGCTGCCGAACCAGACGTACGCGCACACCATGTGATGAAGCTCAAAGGTCGAGATGGCTTCCGGCTTCGGGTCGGCAACTGGCGGATTCTGTTCGACGTGAACGGCAGCGTCCTGGAGATTCTCGAGATCGGCTCGCGAGGAAGCATATATCGATAGGAGAAGCATATGATGCCCCCTGCACAAGTAATCGACACCCCGGGCGGAGAGCGCATGGTGGTTCTGCCGCTCAGGGACTATGAGCAGCTCTGCGCAGCCGCTGAGGACTTGGCCGATATCCGGGCTTACGACAAGGCGAAGCAGCACCTCGAGGCGGGTAAGGACGAGTTGATTCCGGCTGAATTCGGCGATCGCATTCTCGACGGTGAAAGCCCGGTTCGTGTATGGCGGGAGTACCGGGGGCTCAGCATCAAGCAACTGGCCGCCAGTGCGAATGTGAGCGCTGCCTATCTGTCACAGATCGAAGGCGGCAGCCGCAACGGTTCCCTGTCGACCATGAAGGCGTTGGCGAAGGGTCTCTCCTTGAACATCGACGATTTGATGTAGATCCACCGACACGGAGAGCCTTGGCGGCAGGGCTTGCACCAAGTGGCCTCGTGAGGCTACATTGCTGGCATGCGTACGGTCGGGATTCGGGAGCTCAAGGATCGGCTCAGTCAGCACATCCGGATGGTTCGCGAGGGCGAACGGATTCTGGTTACGGATCGGGGCGAGGTGGTCGCCGAGCTGCGCCAGCCGTCGGTCACACCCGAGGCGGCTGGGTTCCCGGGATTGGAGCAACGCGCGCGCGCCGGAACGGTACGCGTGGGAGCTCCCAATCGCCCCGACTTGTATCCGAGGATGCCACGCGTGCTTCCTGAAGGCAGCGCTACGCGCCTGCTGGATGAAGAACGCGGCGAACGGTGAATCTCTATGCGGAGTCCAGCGCAGTCCTGTCATGGCTCCTCGGCGAGAAACGCGGCGAGGCTGTCCGCGAGCGGCTGTTGGCCGCTGACATGGTCATTACTTCCGACCTGACGCTCATCGAGTGCGATCGTGCCCTGCACCGTGCGGAAGCGGTCGGTGAACTGGAAACCGAGACGGTCAAGAATATGCGCGAGCAGTTCTCTATGGCCACCGATCACTGGATCGCGTTCTCGATCGACCGTGAGGTCGTGGAACGGTCTCGGCGCCGATTCCCACGCGAGCCGATTCGCTCGCTTGATGCGATCCACCTCACCACCGCACTGTTGGTGCGTAGCCTGGTGTCCGAGTTGGAGTTCCTGTCGTGGGATGAGCGCATCCGCAACAACGCCGCCGAGCTCGGGTTCGACGTCACGCCGGCCACGGGAGAGGGAACGTAAACATGAGAATCGATCGCTACCTGCAGGGGACGCCGTCGTGGGTCGACCTGTCCACCACCGATCAGGACGCCGCCAAGGGGTTCTACGCCGGCCTGTTCGGCTGGAGCTACCGGGATATGCCGGTCGACCAGACGGGCGAGCGGCTCTACACGACGGCGACCATCGACGGCGCCAGCGCGGCGGGGATCTTCACGCAGCCGCCCGAGGAGGCGCAGATGGGCATTCCTCCGCACTGGAACGTCTATCTGACGGTGGACGATGCCGATGCCAGCGCGGTGCGCGCCGTCGAGCACGGCGGCACGGTGCTGGCCGAACCGTTCGACGTGTTCGACGCCGGCCGCATGGCGACCATCAAGGACCCGGCCGGCGCCGTGGTGTCGCTCTGGCAGCCGCGGCAGAGCATCGGCGCGCAGATCCGCGCCGAGCACGGCGCGCTCTGCTGGACCGAGCTCCTGACCGGCGATCCAGCGGCCGCCGCCGAGTTCCTGGCCGCGCTGCTGGACGTCCGCACGGAGACCGCCCCCATGCCGGACGGCGTCGAGTACACGGTGGTCATGGCGGGGGACACCCCGGTCGCCGGCGTGATGCTGATGCCCGAGCACCTGCGCGAGATGCGGCATCCCCCGCACTGGAGCACCTACATGCAGGTCGACGACACCGACGCGGCCGTGGCGGCGGCGGAGGCCGCCGGCGGCTCAGTGTTGATGCCGGCACAGGACATCGCGACCGTGGGGCGCCTCGCCTTCATCGCGGATCCGCAGCGTGCGGCGCTCGGCCTGATGACGCCCGGATAGGGTCCCCGGCGCCGCCATGCACTACCGGACGCTGGGCGCAGCGGTATCGAGGTGAGCCTGCTCGCCTTCGGCACCGGTGGCCCCACCACCTTCACGGAGGCGGAGCTCTCCGACGCGGACAAGACGCGCCTCCTGCACCGCTGCCTGGATCGCGGCATCAACCTGATCGACACCTCGCAGGGGCTACGGCGACATCGGAGCTGTTCCTTGGCGCCGCGCTGGCCGGCGTGCCGCGGGACCGCTATCTCCTCTCGACCAAGTGGGCTTACTCGAGATGGACGGGCCCCGACAGCGATCCGCAGGAAGGCGAACCGATCGGCGATCCGGGGGCATTCGAGCAGGCGGTCGACGCCAGCCTCGGGCGGCTGCGGACCGACCACGTCGACGTCATGTTCATCCACGGCCTCAAGCCGGACGACTACGACGCGGTCTATGAGCGCCACGGACCGGCGATCGAACGGCTGAAGCAGGCCGGCAAGATCCGGCTGGCCGGCTTCAGCGAGCGGATGGGCGAGGACCTGGAGCACCGGGTCACCATCGACGCGATCAGCCGGCATCCGTCCTTCTGGGACGTGTCGATGCTGCGCTACGGCATCCTCAACCAGTGCGCGCGCGACCGGGCGCTGCCGCTGGCCGCCGAGCACGGGGTCGCGGTGATGAACATGTCGCCGGCGCGCTACCTGCTGCCGCATCCGGAGCAGCTCGTCGAGCGGATCGCCGCCTGGAAGGCGGACGGCTCGCTGGCGCCGGACGCGGTGGCGGACGACGATCCCCTCGGCTGGCTCGTTCACGGCGAGGTCGAGTCGGTGGTGGGCGCCGGCCTGAAGTTCGCGGCCGACCATCCCTGCCGTCTCCACCGCGCTGACCGGCACCCGCAGCTTCGAGCACCTGGAGGCCAACATCCGGGCGCTGGAGGAGCCCCGCCTGCCGGACGCCGATCACGACCGCCTGGTCCGGCTGTTCAGCTTCGCCCGCGAGTGGCGGTGATGCCGGCCGGCGGGCCGGAGCGCCCTGTCCAGGGCACGAAGGTGACCCGCCACCCGTGCGCGGCCAACACCGTGGCCGAGTGGTCAGTGCAGGCCGGCGTGGAGCGCGCCGACCCGTACGCGGAGATCGATCTGCACGCGCTGGTGCGCGACCCGCACGGCCGCGAGCGGCGCGTCCCCGCCTTCTGGCGCGGCGGAGACCGGTGGTCGTTCCGGTACGCGGCGCCGCTGCCGGGCGTTCACATCTATCGGACGCGGTGCAGCGATGCCTCCGACACGGGTCTGCACGATCGGCAGGGCGAAATCGAGGTCGTCCCGTACGAGGGCGACAACCCGCTCTACCGGCACGGGCCGCTGCGCGATTCGGCCGGGCACCCGTGCCTGGAGCACGCCGACGGGACGCCGTTCCCGTGGCTGGGCGACACGTGGTGGATGGGGCTCACCAAGCGCCTCACGTGGCCCGACGACTTCCGCTGGCTGACCACGGACCGCGTGCGCAAGGGATTCACCCTCATCCAGATCGTCGCCGGGCTGTATCCGGACCAGCCGCCGTTCGACCCGCGCGGCGAGAACGAGGCGGGACACCCGTGGACGCGCGCCGGGGAGGACGGCTACGAGCTCGGAACGCCGAACCCGGCCTGGTGGGACCGGGCCGACGAGCGCATCGCCCACCTGGTCTCGTCGGGGCTGGTGCCGTGCCTGGTGGGCTGCTGGGGCTACTACCTGGAGCTCTGCGGCGAGGAGTCGATCCGCCGCCACTGGGACTACCTGATCGCGCGCTACGGCGCCCTGCCGGTGGTCTGGTGTCTGGCCGGCGAGGCGACCGGCCGCTACTACACCACCGGCGCCGACTGGGATCAGGCGCGCGCCGAAGCCGCCGAGGACGAGTTGCGCGCGGGGTGGACTCGCCTGCTGCACCATGTGCGCGAGGCGGACCCGTTCGAGCGGCCGCTCACCATCCACCCCACGTTCTACGGCGACCGCATGGTGGACGAGCCGGACCTGCTGGATGTGAACATGCTGCAGACCGGCCACTTCGGTTTCCACACGCTGTCGACCAACGCCGACATGATCGAGGAAGCGGTCGCGCGCGAGCCGCGCCGGCCGGTGGTCATATCAGAGGCGTGCTACGAAGGCATCCGCGAGACCTGCTTCGCCGACGTGCAACGGTTCATGTACTGGTCGTCGATCCTGAGCGGCGCCTACGGGTTCACCTACGGCGCCAACGGGCTGTGGCAGGTGATCACGCGCGATGATCCTTACGGCGCGTCCCCGCACGGGCAATCATGGGGCCGCGTGACGTGGCAGGAGGCGGCGGAACTGCCCGGCTCGACGCAGGTCGGCCTGGCCGCTCGGTTTCTTGCGCGCTACCGCTGGTGGGAGCTGCAACCGCTGCCGGAGTTGCTCGCGTACCACCAGGGGCCGGGCAACCGCATCGCCCCGTACGCGGCCTGCATCCCGGGCCAAGTCCATCTGGTGTTTCTGCCCGCCCTTGCGGGCTCGCTGATGTTCGACCTGGCGCGGCAGCGCGAGCGAGACCGCGCCGCCGACCCGGTGGACCGCCGTGACCCGGCGATGCTTGCGCAGGCGGAGGCGGCCTACGGCGGCCGGGTGCGGATGACCGGCCTGGAGGCGGGCCGGGCCTACCACGCGTATTTCTTCGATCCGGTCACCGGCGAGGAGGTCGAGATCGGCGAGGTAACCGCGGACGCGCACGGCGTCTGGCAGTCGCCCGGCCCGCCGATCTTCAGGACTGGGTCCTCGTGGTCGAAGGCCCCGGCGCCGGCCGTCAGAGCTCGAACAGGCGGGCGGCGTTGCCCCAGAACACGTCCTCGATCTGCCGGTCGGTGAGCCGCTCCGCCCAGCAGGCCCACTTCACCGAGCGCAGGTGCTCCAGGACGATGGAGACCGGCTTGATCGTGGTGTGCCTCTCTTCCCAGACCGGCGCGTCGTCGTAGACCCAGAAGAAGGTGTCGGCCACCGAGCAGTGGCGGCCGTGGCTGTGGCTGGCGGCGCCGAAGTCGGTGCCGAACATGAACCGGTCGTGGCCGAAGATGCGCATGATCGCCACGTGCGCCATCGGCTCGCAGTTGGCGCTGGAGTCGAAGTACAGGTTCGGCAGGTCGGCCAGCTTCGGCAGCCCCTCGAAGTTGTGTGACGGCTGGAAGCCGCGCGCCGAGTGCGCGAGGATGAGCTTCATGTCCGGGTAGCGCTCGCAATAGGTGCGGATCCAGTGCTGGTTGCCGGGGTCGGCGACCGCCCGGTCCTTGACCATGTGCAGGGTCACGTACCACCCCTCCTCGTGCGCGACCTGCATCACCGCCTCCGGCAGGTATTCCGGGATCTCCGCGTTCAGCGTCGGCTTGCGCAGAGAGAAGGTGTGATAGCACTTCAGCCCGCGCAGGCCGAGCCTGCGGGCATGCTCGCGCACCCACTCCGGGTCGTCCTCCGGCTTGACCAGGAACGCCCCCCGGCAGGTGGGCTTGCCGGCCAGCGATTCGCCCACCCACTCGCTGACGCGCAGGGCCTGGTCCCGGCGCTTGACGACTGGCTTCGGCAGGAACCAGGCGCCCAGCGTCCGGTTCGGGAACACCTCGCCGGTCAGGCGCAGGTAGTCGTCGCTGTTCATGTCGGCCGGAAAACCGGGCGGCAGCGGGGCGGCGTAGGCGTCGCCGCGCCACAGATGGGCGTGGCAGTCGAACACCTTGTCGGGGACGAAGGATGCCAGCTCGCGCTCGAAGAACTCGCGGTCGTGGTCCTGGTAGGCGTGGTCGCCGGTGTACTTGATCACCCGCCGGATGGTAGGGGCGGGAAGCGGGCGTGCCAACTGCACGTCTCGCAGGTGGTGACGCCGTGGCGGTCGAAGGCGCCGCCGCGCCGGAACAGGTCGGGGTGGCGGCCGTTGGCGCGGCAGAGCGGCACGCGGGCATCGCCGGCCGCGTGGTAGCCGGCGAACGCCGGACAGTCCTCCCGTACCGTGAGGTCGCCGGCGCCGGCGGCCGCGGCGTCCGGGATCGGCACGGGCGCCAGGGGGTGCTCGCCGATCGCGGGCCGGGCCGGCGGCGCGTTTGGGTCCGTGCGCCGCCACGCGCGCAGCATGCCGGCGGCCTTGTGCAGGGCATCGACCGCCAGGTCACCGTCACGGCGGTCCGGCGGGCGCAGCACCAGGCAGAACGGGTCGTCGGCCAGCGCGGCGGCCATGAACCGGCGGAACCGGCCGACGGACATCAGCCCGGAAGTGCTCTTGCCCACCGGTGCGGTGGCCAGGATGGCGGCCGCCCGGCACAGGTCCTGCAGCACGCCGGGGTGCTCGTACTGCAGGCGCAGGCCGGGCACGGTGTTGTTGAGGTGGCGCTCGGCCGGCCAGAGGTGGCCGGCGTAGGGGAGGAGCCACACCTCCTCGTAGAAGTGCCAGAGGGTCACCCGGTCGACGCCGACGCCCAGGGTGAGCACCAGGTCGTCGTCACGGAGCGACTCGAACGGGTTGCCGGGGCCACACGAGCTGGGGGCCGCGCGGTGCCCGGCAAGCAGGTCGCGCGCGCGGGCTCCCAGGCCGACCCAGGAGTGCGTCTTGTGGCAGCTCCGCAGGCTTCCGGGCCGGCGGCGCACCTCCTCCGGGATCACGCCCTGGAACCCGGGCTGCCGGCTCGGGCACAGGCCGTCGGCGCTGGTGCAGTCGCAGTCGCTGTTGGTGAACTCGGCCGGGTCGCCCCACACCGAGTCGCGGAAGGCGGGGACCAACAGGGTGCCGCCGGCGCCCACCGAGTCCAGCAACGCATCGACGACGGTGGCCGCGCCGCCGTCCACCGGTCCCAGTGCGCTCAGGCTGCTGTGCATCATCACGGCCGCGCCGGGCCGGAGACCCAGCTCGCGGAGCTCCGCGCAGAGCTGCTCGCGGGTGGCGGGCGGCATGGGCCAAGCGTAGAACGGCGCCGGCCCGGTACCCAAGCGACGGCCGCTCCCGTAAGCTGCCGCCGATGGCTGAGAAGATACGCATCGGGCTGATCGGGTACGGCGGCTGGACGCACACCGCGTACCTGCCGGCCCTCGAAACCGACGGCCGCGCCGGCGTCGTGGCGGTCGCGGCGCCCAGCGCGGCGAGCCGTGAACGCGCCGGGCGCGAGCTGGGGCCGGCGGTCGCCGTGTACGCGGCTGCCGGGGAGCTGCTGGCCGGCACCGCGGTCGACGGCGTGATGGTGGCCGTGGCGGAGGAGGCGCATGCGGAGGCGATCGGCGCTGCGCTCGACGCCGGCACCGCGGTCCTCTACGAGGGCCCGCTGGCGGCCACGCGGGCGGCGATTCCCGGCATGATCGAGCGACTTGAGGCCGCGCGCGCTCCCACCCACGCCGACATCGAGCTGGGCTTCCTGCCGGTCGTGCGGCGGGCGGCGGAGCTGATCGCGGACGGGACGGTGGGCATCCCGCAGTTCGCGGAGGTCCGGATGGAGTCCGACTGGGGAGCGCTGCCGGAGGAGGACCTCTGCAAGGTCGATCCACCTGGCGCCGTGGTACGTCGACCCGCTGGACCGGGTGCTGGGCAGGACCGCCGCGCGCGTCCTGACGATGGACGGCAGCGGATCGGCCGGACGGGCGCAGGCGCAGAGCCTCCTGCAGCTCGACTACGGCGGCTGCTGGGGGACCTTCGCCGTCAACACCGGCGCCGTCTCCGGCCCCGACATGCGCATCGCGGTCACCGGCACCGCCGGCGACGTGCGCGTCGACCTGCTGTCAGGCGAGCTGCGCTGGCGCAGCGCCGACAGCCCGGCCTGGATGACTGAAACCTGCCCGCCGATCGAGCCGATCCTGGCCTGCCATCGATTCACTGCACGAGTGCGTGCGCGCCTTTCTGGACTGCAATCGATCGGCGCGGAGGCGAGCGGGCGCCACGCGTCGCCACGCTGCATCGGTCGTCTGTCTGCCGCGGAGCGAGTCGCGCGAACAGCGGCAGCCTGGGTCTGAGGTCGAAACGCCCGTCGACGTCGCGCGTCTTACAGCCTCTGGCGAGCAGGCGCAAGTGCTCGTCCGCGTGGAGGAGCGACGTGCCGTGATGGTTCGCGCACGCCTGCACCACGAGGTCGACCGTCGGCCAACCCGTGATAACACCCCGCAACGGCCGACGTGCGCGCGAGCTCGTCGTCGTGTCCCCTACAGCGGTTCAGCGGAAGCTCGATGAGATCGCGCGCCATTTCACGGAGCATCGTCTGTTCCCGGCCGCCGCGAGCTCCGTTCCACAGCTCCGTGCGGACGATCGGACACCATGCGGCCGTTCCCGCCACCAGAAGCGATGCCACTCGCTGGCGAACATGAGGGTCACCGTCGCGTCGCAGACTGTGAATCCAAGCCGACGTATCGATCAGCGTCACGGCGTTCCGCGCATCTCATCAAGCTCCTTCAGCGACAGCAGGTCATCACACGTTCCCAGGTAGCGGGTCAGCGCGGCGCACCGCGCGCGGCGATTGAAGTCGGCGACGGCCGTGACGATCGCCTCGCGCTTGGTCTTGGCGCCGTAATCGCATGGCTTCCTCAAGGACATGACGGGGAATATCTACGGAGGTCTTCATGCTTCCAGGATGGTGCTCTCCTTAATCCTGATCAAGACTGCAGTTTCCGGGATCACTCCTGGCCGGCCATCTCCAGTCGCGCGATTTCGCCGGGGCTGAGCTGCAGGTCCAGCGCGGCGGCGTTGTCCGCGAACTCGTCGGGGGTCGCCGAGGCGGCGATCGGATACACGTCCAGGCCGGTCTGCATGATGTAGGCCAGGGAGACGCGCGCAGCCGACACGCCGTGCTCGCGACCGATCGCCTCGCGCCGATTCCAGGCGGGTGAAGTTGCCGTCCGAGCAGTAGGTGTCGGCGGACAGCGCCTCCCTGCCGGAGTCCGGCCTGGGTTTGTCGCGGCCGACCGCCGGAGAAGAAGCCGCCGGCCAGGCTCGACCAGGAGAACACCGGAAGCTGCGTGCGGCGGTACCAGGCGCGGTCGCCGG